TCTGAGCTAGAGGAATACGTGTTTGATTGCTGAGGCAATGTTTTGTTTTTATCAAAAACAAGAAGTAAAATCTGTGAGTCAGTGGTGAAAAATTAGATTTGCATTAAATATATTTATAGCTTTAAACAGTATAGAGGACTAATAAGCGTAGTATTGTATGTGTCCATTATTGGGAAATAAATGTCAGATCAGCCCCAGAAACAAAACAAAACAAAACAAGACAATCACAAAGCTCTGTAGAGAAATATATCTCAGGTTTATTAATAACTTTCTTCATTTTCAAAACTCATTAAGACAGAAATTATAAAACAGTATTTACACCTTGTGTCTATTTATATTTTTAAGTTAAAGCATGCCAGAGAGAATGAAGGACAATCAGTATTTTTTCCCAAATGCCAGTCGCTCCATTCACTCTGTTCCCAAATTTAACTCGAGACAAAAAAAAAAAAAAAAGTTATTACCATAATCACTAACAGTGTTCTGAGGTACAAAAAAAACAAACAAAAAAAAACATTATATAGGCACTGACAAACACATTCACGTGCACCATAATGAACCCAAACCCAGAACAATTTAAAGCAGGGGGTGTGGGATGGGGGGCCACTCCAACATGAACATGGAAAAAAAATATACAGTCCTTTGAAATAGGAGTGTGTGTTTGCGTGCGTCTCTGTGGTGTTTAAGTAAAAAACAAGGAAGAAAAAAGAAAAACAGGAATGAACACACGAAAAAATACAGTCATTAGAAAGTAGTGAAGCCAACACAGCAGCGAGAAAGTCCTTTAGCTTCTGTGCGGACAGGGGAGTGAAATTATTGCAGTCACTTGATGAAGTCAGTGATAACATGATTATGAAATTCAGGTTACTGGCAGCATTGTGACACAACTGTGTGTTGTGTGCTGCTTCTGTTTTTAAACCACAAAAACCGTGGACTCTTTGAATCTTTGTCACTTGCAAAATTCTTACTTGTTGCTTAAAAGACAAGAAATACAAACATTTCTTGGAAACGGAGTAAAACATGAGCACATGAAGCTAATGCAGATTCAAAAGTAGAACTAGTGTTTACTCACTGGGGTTTGTCATTAAAGCGTTGGAGGGGCTGCTGGCTTTCTTTCACTATTTGATTTAAATTGGTGTCAACTAAACTGGATAGTTGACTGATGAATAATTAAATAGATGACTTCGGTGACCATTTATTGACAATCTTTCCCATTAGCGTTATCTAGTGGCATTTTAAGTGTGAAAAAAAGATGAAAAATCTCACTCATTTCCCTTCTAAATATATTTCCATGTGCTCAAATACATTCACAGCCTGCTTGAAATGCATTTCCCCAAAACTGTTTAGCTGCAATATTTGCACAGAAAATGCCAGCCAACAGCTACAGCCTCTTTATAAGCAGCATCAGTGCTGTACTTTAGTCTTTGGTAGGCAGTAACGTGCAATTAAACCTGCCAAATAAATGATTCAAATATACAAGTCACACTCACAAAGCATCTAGTTTGGTGCAAAAGGTTGCAGGTTTGCCAACTGAGACATAAAATGCATCATCTAACATTGAAATGTTAGAGCAGGGGTGTCAAACTCAAATACACAGTGGGCCAAAATTTAAAACTGGAACAAAGTCGCAGGCTAACGTTAATATTTATTGGAAAAAAAAAAACTTCCTCCAGATATAAGAATGAATCTTTTCTTATGGACTCAAACATGTTTTGCTGAAAAACTGAATATGGAACAAGCAAAGCTTAATACTAAACAATATATATATTAGCTGTATAACACCAGTAGGCCAGCTCTAATAGTAATTCGGTATGGCTTCGCGGGCCAAATGTAATTAGGCTGCGGGCCAAATTTGGCCCGCGGGCCAGAGTTTGACACCTATGTGTTAGAGGATCACTTTTGTATTTGGTGAAAGAAATAAAATAATAATAATTTGTGAAACAACATTAAGTCAACTACACGTAACTACGTCAAAAATGTTTATTTTCTAAAAACACTAAAATTCTAATCATGTGCTGCACTTGCTGAAGTTTTGGAAATTTATTGACCTCTCTGGCCTTTCCCACCACCGCTGAAACTCACTCGCATCACTTCAACAAGACAGGAAATTCCACAATAACGGAAATGCTTTTGGTTTCAGATTTTCCTCGTCCAGAAAACAAGTAGTAGTAGATGTAGTAATACTAATTTATTCAAATTTCAAAATCATTTTTGCTGCTGGGTGTTATGTTAATGCTCCCGATCTCAAAAACCGCAACAATAAAAGAAAAATAAATTTTTTAAATTAACACCAGCTTGTGATTATCTTTCCTTTAGCTTGCTTCGTATCATACTCCTGGTGTCCTGCATATCCCAGAAGACTTGGTCACATCTTTTAGAGCAAAGCTGGAAACTTGTTGCTTGTAAAAAAATCTTTGCTACTCAAAGATGACAGAAAAAGTAAAGGCGGTGCAACCATAACCTTTATATCATCTTCATCTTCAATGAAGTTGTGCATTTATTTTTACTGTTGACAACTGGAGGAACTGCGAGCTCAAGGACTGCCAACCTGGTTATCAAAAGACAGCCATGAGCTAATGCATTCACAATTTCACTCTAATTGGGACCTCGTTTTACTAAACAAACATCAAATTACACTAAATAAAAAAGTGAAACTGGCAATTCAGACTGCAAACTCAAAATTAACCTTTTTGCTGTGGTCTTAAAGTAGATTAATTTCCTCATAAACTTTTATATAATTACATTTTCTTTGCAGCCAGAGAAGTCACCCCCTGCTGGCCATTAGAAAGAACACAGGATTAAGGCACTTCCACATTGGGCTCATGTTTCAAACCTAAAGGCTATGACCATCTTTTAAGTATAGCCTAACAAAAAGTACCAAAAAGTGAACATCTGTTACATGTAGTTGTTAGTGTGGAAATAAAATTCTACAACGGGTGTCTTAAAAGCAGCAGAGTATCACAAAAGAAAGAAATACCCACGAAACACGGCTGTGCTCCTGTTAGAGTTCAGGGAAAGAAAAAGATTTTCAGATTCTCCTTTAAGACGTTGTCTGAGCGTACAGTAAAATATAACTGGTAAAATATAACCAAAAAACAAACAAACACACAAACAAAAAAAAAAACCTGACAGAATGTGGCTAATGTTGCATTTGGAGACACAAATACAAAAACGATGTTAGAGTGACCCCCTTTTCCTACATTAAAAACAAAAAGGAAACCCGAACATAATCACTGAATGGAAAGAAACACTTTAACATGTAAAATCTCCCAAAACAGTGAAATAAAATTGCATTTTCTCCCCTTCAAATCAACACGAATATATACACGCATACACAGACATTAAACTCAATAAATAAACTCTCAGATCTCTTAAAGTATTTTCCAGTCAGAAGGTGATCAAGCGTCTCACTTTTGGTTTCTGCTCCCAACAAGTCTCATGATGGCCAGTTTTGGTCTCGTACAGGCAAACTCACGCACAGACACAGACTACCCATCGTCTTTAGAAACAAAACAAAACAAAAAAAAAAAAGTAGGAAAGGATTCTTTGCTCTCGAACGCCTTCGTCTCTGCAACCCATCTAGAAACTCCACGTCTGTCCTCGGAGGAACATAATTAAAGGTGACACAGATATGGCATTTGGAGAGCAGGGCAGCCACGGTTAACGTACCCTACATAATTAATTTAACACATTCAAAATATTCATGTTGATTGTCTAGTTCACAATACAGACTGGTGGTCTATCAGCGGCAAATCTCTTAACAACTCTGGGATAAAGGCTCTGGGCTACCAGCTGTTTCTATGCAGGAAACAAGGAAGAGAAAATATATCTCTATAGATAGAAATCCACCCCATCCCCATCCTCATTTAACCACAAAATCCCCCCAATAAATATCTCACTATAAATTTCTATGGTACACGTATTACTTTGTGTGAACTCCGCAGACATGCTCGGGTCGTCTTTGTCCTCTAGCTGTATGGAGGAGGGGGATGCAGGTTGCTACACATGCGGCGATGGGCTGGTTTGGGGGCTTTCGACCACACTTGCTTTTACGTACATCCGGAAATGAGGAGGAGGGCGGAGTCTCCCTGAGTCTCTGATTAGGGACAGTGATTTAGAAGCAACGCACACTCTTTCTCACACACACTACACCACACGCACTTAAATAATCGGTAACACCTCTGAACGAGAAATGGAGGAGCTTTCTGGTCCAGACGAACAGGTCCTTCAGATCAAGAGGCATGTGCAAACACTGACGCGATACGCGTTTCTGTCGCTAAACTTCCATCGATCGGCAGAGGTGTGGAGACTTTGGTATGTGTGTGTACACCGATGAGCCCAAACATTATGGCCGGAAATATCCTGTTCATCCTTTAAGCACAGTCAAAATGTTTTGGCTCATCAGTGTGTGTTCGCGATTGTGTGTGTGTGTGTTTAATCTTTGCATATTTACACAGTATGCACGTGGCTTGACTCTTTGGGCCTCATCAGCTTGTGCCTGCATTCCCACTCACACAAACACGCGCACTCACACACAATCCTCCCCTCCTCGGCATACAACCGGGCGTAGTAGTGCACGTGGGCCAATGTAGGAGTATGGAGGGCTGGTACCAGTGGAGGCTGTCAGATTCTGTTCTCCACCGGGCTGTGGTGGTTGCCTGTGTGTGGCGAGTTCTGCTCGTTGAGGAGGAGGAGCGTCGTCTCGTCCGGGCCGTTCTCCGTAGGGGTGGAGTCTGCTCCCAGGTCCGTAATGGTGGTGTTACCGATGGTGGTGGGAGGCGTCTGATCCATGCGAATAGTGTTGTGGCTGCTCTCGGGGGACTGCGGCGTGCTGTCCAGGCGAGATGCCATCAGGCCGTTCTGGTACTGAGCTCGTGTGATCTGAAAAAATGAGGGATAATGAGAATAGTTTTCATTCTTAATATGTTAGCAAACACCTGCACAGTTGTATCTCTAGCAGTTACTGAGTACTTTTAAAACTGCATGCCAACAAAGCTTTTCAGAACTGTATGTCCTAGAAATGTCAATTTTAAAGACCAAAGGTGTGCCTGCATTTTAAACAGAATTTCTGTCTGATTTTACAAGAAATTGTTCACTTTCAGTTCAGCATGCGTCACAGGATAACGTCACTGTGATGTCTAACTGGATCAATGTAAGGATAGTGCAGGTGATTTATCCAGGAAACTCTGTACTTCTTTACTGACAAAGAGGCTAAAGTGAATCATTGCCTTTGTTTGCTGTGTGTGATGAAATGTTTTTCCCTGACGCTGCAAGGAAATGTATGTTTCTGGTCAGTCCATCTGTTAGACTTTTTCCCTATCACTATATTGATTGTGGGACATCACCACAGCACTGCCATCGTTCACCACACTTGCTGGAGTCTTCTGCAAAGAAAGCTGCACGCTCAAATCCATCTGTATCAACTGGGAATCTCTGAACTCCATTGAAATGCTGGTAAAGACCCACACAATCACGCATGTGTGTCGGTTGCACCAGGTAATCAGAACTGAGAGGAGCATGAGAAGTAAAAGTAGTAAAAAACGACACCAAAGACACCATTCCAGCAGCTGTGATGTCACTTCTTGCATGCACATCTGTTTGTGAAGGCAATAATGGCGAGTGTAAATCAAGTGCAATGCTTCGCTGATAGGTCAAAGCCTTATTTTTATTTTAAATGCCACCTGATATAAAAATCAGAACTATTTGCAGCACTAGTTCCCAGAGCTCCTACACTTTTGAGAGCTTCATAGACCCATGTCTACATATTGTAGCTGTTTACCATCACCAGTCAGCAATGTCACAAATCTCCAGAAAAACTGGTAACATAAACTCATTTCATTCACTGTATTGGTGTAGGTCCTTTAGCTTGGTCTGTTCTGCAGAGAAGAAAATATTTATGATATATTTCTTTGCAGTGATGCGAAACCAACCGTTTAAAAGTGTCCACTGCGGTTACGGTCTTTGCTTCTAATATATGATTTTGATGCATTTCTTCCTCTTCAACCCCTTTTCCTGTTCAGCAAGCTTTTCACCCAGTAAGAATTCATAGTCATAGTCTAAGGAGCTTGGAAAGAAAAGCGTCTGGA